CCTCACTGCTTCACCACCTCATCATTAGTTCATTTTTTGACTAATGAGTGACTCTCCGTGTCTCTCACAACAAAATAATAACATAAAGACGAAGCTTGTTTTCTGCTCTAAATAACACAGCTCCAGTGTTTATCTGCATTTTAATGTTAACGGGGTGAAGAAGGAGTCATCTTGTGTCCGGCAGGAAAACTTTAGAAATGAAACTAAATTTGCACATTCATAGATTTTCAGCAAACACTGCAGTGACAGAGATTTCCCTTTAAGACACTTCCACATTGGCTCCAGGTATCACAGTGTGCCGGCTGCTCATAAACCATGTGTGTATGACTAAAGTGCATGATGAATTCTCGACCATGTGGAAAACACCAGCACACACACAAACACACTTTCTAGTTCAACTAAAAAGCTCCCACCTCCTCTAACCTCTCCCTCAGACCCTCGCATTAAAGCCCATCGCCCTTTCATTAGCGTGAGGAGGAGAAGAAAAGAGGGAGGTGATATTAAGCAGTCAACAAACCTTTTGTTAATCTGTCGTGTGCCGCGGGGCGTGAAAGCACAAGCATAAAGGAGCACACAGGAATATGTGTCATACAGATTAAAGATGGACCTGTGCGCCTACAGGTGCATGTGTGTGCGCGCCATGTGACCCGTGTCTCGCTCCTGAAGTGGAGCTTAAGAGCTCGGGTCGCCGAGTTAACTGGATGTTCACACACGCTGAGACAGACGCACACAAACAAACACACACGGCAGGTTTGCTTGGCAGCTTTTCCGGCGTCATCGCAGTAGCAGGCGCTGCTTGCTTTCAGGAGGTGGCGGCCCTCAGGCGCACGGGGTGAAATGGAGAATGAAATTGGGATTCGCAAAGACGTAAGACGATGACACAGGTGTGCTCTCGGAGAACAAAAAGGGAGAGAATGACTGCGGTGTTACAGTTTCTTTATCTCCCTCATTCATCATTAAAGATGTTTGTTATATGAGAGGAAGGAGGCAAGAAATGATTGTTTTCATTATTATTTGGTTGATAAAATAGTAAAACATGTCCAAGGTTGACGTTTATAAATGTCCAAAAGCCAAAAATATTACTATTACTATTTAAAACAACCATCAAACCAACAGGAGGAACTGAATATTTTAACTTTAAGCACAAGGGACGATTGATTGATTTATAGTGATCCTAGTTTAATCATTGAGGACTTTGTACATTAACGCCATGCATAACGAAACCTTAATTAGTATCATTGGTAACACCTGTGTTTACCCTACTAGTTCTTGTTAAAATGGCTGCTGTGAAAAAGGTCTTTTGAATAGTGTTTATTTCTGTTTCATAAACTAAAGAACTAGCCTCAGATTGTTAGCAGAATGTAAACATCAAATCATAAAGAAGTGAAGTTGCAACCACTCACATTACTGTATGCTACTAATAACGCTAATGCTGGCAGCTGGCTAACTTAGCTTAGCACAAAGACTGGAAAAAACAATCTAGTCTAAAAGTCCTCTTGTCTCTTCTAAATACTGACAAGTATGAAAGTAAGTATCCAGAAATAATTATGTTACAGTTTTTCTAATCATAAATAATTACTGCTGACTTTTACTGGAGGCCCATTAGCTTGTTAGCTTATTGTTAGCCTCAGTTTATCCTATGATTTCATATTTAAGAAAAGGTGAAAAAGGTCTTTAAAATAATGTTTGTTTTTGTTGTTTGGCTCCAGAAACTTGTGATGCTCTGTCGTTTTATAAACTAAAGGAACTGTTCGATTAATGGAGAAAATAGCAGCTCAATATTGACGATAATGATTGATCGCAGCTCTAATAAGCTATAATTTCCACCTCTTCTCTGTCCTTCTCAGTTTCCTGCGGTTGGAATGAACGAATACAAACTGACAGCTTCTGTCATGAACTCATAATTGACGTGTTTGTTGCCACCAGAAAAAACACTTTGATAATAAACGCTATCAGGATCATCATCAGCAGCGAGCAGCGAGCAGCGACACGCCGGCCGGAGAGCATTACAGGAATAT